TATATATATATATATATATATATATATATATATATATATATATATATATATATATATATAACATATATAAATAAAAAACACATCAATATATTTCAAATACAAATAATGTGTCTTCCAACCATTTATCTAGAAATAGGTCATATTACTGCAAAGGCACCAAAGCTGAGTGACATATGATCTTAGGAGGTGCATATCTCACTCACCTGCACTGCAGCCACAGCCAGTAACATGGCCAGAATGAAGGGGGTGTTCTCTGACAGCCATCTGTTGATGACTTCCTTGCAGCCCTGGTTGTGTGAGAAAAAGGTGAGGAGCAGAGCTCACATGCATGTGCTGTCTGCTGTATTGTGGAGACGCACCTCTTGATAAATCCTGCATGAAGGTGAAGTGCCGTTTGCTGCGGGGCAAATACACTCCATGCTGAAGTTATGTTGCTCAGAGCTATTGAACAGGAGGCCGGTGCTGTTGTAGCAGGAGCAGGGTGTATCGATCCAATTATTTGGTGTGTCCCATCCGCAGCACTTATTCTGAAAAATAGTAATAGTTTAAACCATAAATATGACCCCAGTCATGCTCCCAAAACACTTTAATTTCATGTAAAAGTTAGCTTAATACATTACCTTTAAAAAAAAACCCAAATGTTTCATGTAAAAATAGAGTACAGTATCGCCTAATGGATATTTGTCACATTAGCACATTTACAGTACAGTATACTAATGTTACCCCTACTAATTCATAGAACACGGCATTGGCTGCAGTTTTCTTTTGCATTCACAGTAAGGTAAAATGAGTAAACAAATGGGACTGTAAACTTAACGACAGAAGTCATATACATAACCAAGGCACAATTAAATAAAATTCGTAAACGAAACATGTACTGTGCGTACAGGGTACAGGTATTCAATCAATTAAAAATTAAAACAGAAACAAGCTGTAAAAATACTATTTGTTTGCTAACCACAAAAAAAGAGAGAGAACAAAAATACATACACATTAAAAATATTTAATAAAAAACAGTACAATGACATTTTTGCAGAAATGTGAATTCGCGAATCACGAAGTGCGAACGCACCAGGGCTGACTGTATATGTCAATATGAGGTAGAGCTGGGCGATAAGATATCGTATCTTGATTATGAACATTCTTTTCGTCATGAATCTGAATATCACAAGTATCATGGTATAGCCTAAACACTTGTTTTCTCGCATTATTGACAGCTTTAATGCACTATTTTTACACAAATTCCATCAAGTTTTGAGTCAGTTGTTGGCATAATTTGTCAATGTACCTCTCATATGCTCAATAACTATTAGTAAAACAATTTTGTGATCATAATCAGAGAAACTCAACCATCTGTCATATTCTACTGCTGGTTTCTACATATGAATATTAGAATATTGTGATAAACATAAATAATGTGAAAGTCTTTGAAAATATTGTGAAAATGCTTGATAGCCTCATATGAACCATGCATTTTTACCTCATATGGATAAAGCCATTGTTCCTACCTCTCGCTGGATGGAATTAAAAGCAGTCATGAAATCTTCCAGGTGGGATGTATTCTGCTTAGATGACTTCATTAGTTCTACCATTTTTCCTCCCATTTCATGCTCAATCTAGAGAAAACATTAAGTGTTCACTTTCACAGCTTAGTTCGGAATTCTCCAATTAAGATTTTTTAGAATTCTACAATTTAATATTTTAGGTATTTCTATTTATTTTAAAATAAACCACAAAAAATATAAAAATACAAAAAACTGAAGACAAAAATCAGCTGATTAGTTGAATTAAAATTCATTAGCAGGCCTCAGAGTCCTTTTTTTTGCTAAATTAACAGTGCTGCTGGAATAATATAACAGATCTATGAAATAATGTAGGGGTCCTGAGAAGTGCGTAAGCCTCACATACAAAGTGCGCGTAAGCTTCACATACAAAGTGTGCGTAAGCTTCACATACAAAGTGCGCGTAAGCTTCACATACAAAGTGTGCGTAAGCCTCATTACTAGCAAGTAGTTACCAAATTGCCCATAGGTGTGCATGTGTGAGTGAATGGTGTGTGAGTGTGCCCTGTGATGGGTTGGCGCCCCATCCTGGGCTGTTCCCTGCTTTGCGTCCGTAGCCTCTGGGATAGGCTTCGGACCCCTGTGACCCTGAACAGGATAAGCGGATTCAGAAGATGGATGGATGGACTAGCACAGGGGTGTCAAACTGCAGTCCTGGGGGGCCGCAGCCCTGTGTAGCTTAGTTCTTTCCCTGTTCCACCATAAATGATTCAGCTCAACAGCTACATGGTAATTAGCACAAGAAGTTGAATCAGGTGTGTTAAACGAGGGGAAACCCAAAAATGTGCAGGGCTCCGGCCCCCCAGGACTGGAGTCTGACACGTGTGGACTAACAGATAACTTATACACATTAGAGAACACAAAGGAACCAAACACAATGACCAACAAGTGCAAAAGCCAAGGACAGGCACATATATATGCATGGGAAACACGGGTGTGGGTTATTAACAACTCAAACACTAGGGCTAGTACGAACAAGGTTCAGGTATTCATAATCACACAGGACTCAAACAGTAGAAAAGGGGTGACCAGCGACACCTGCTGGCCAGGCAGAGAAATGACAGAGCAGGGACTGATCCTGACAAGGCCACACATAGAACGTGTATAAGGGTCAAGTATATCAAGAATATTGATGGCCAAATTAATTTTTCATCCTCTCAGTTCTACTAAATAGTAACCTGGCAGTGTACACTATACTTCTATTTTGTTTTGTTGTTTTATTTAGAGAAAATTGAAACAGTTATTTTCACTTCTGCATTATGCAAGTTTTTTGTAAAGAATAAAAATACATAATAAATGAAAGAATACCCATTTATCCATTCATTCATCCAACCCAAAACCCAAAGTATCTACATATAGCTTTAGAACAAAACACAGCTTAGTCCAACCCTGACTTGACTGGGAACACCTGTCTGTTGGTGCACTGTCACTGCTGCTTATAATGGTCGACTTACCGTTGTCCTCTGGGTGAAGAAGAGAACTCCAGCCACAATTTCAATAGCCAATAGGATGGCAAGCGCGATGAAATACTACAGGGAGAGGGAATTCAATATGGTAAGTCTCAGAAGTATCAAATGTGTCTGCACCATACTGTCGGACTTTGCATGGAGAAAAATTATCATTGGCATCCTTTGATGCCTTTTTATGGGTTTGTAAAGGAAGGATAAGCTATACTGAATCCTACAGTTTTCTATGAATAATCAAATTGCCTGCAGCTACATTGCCATTATTGAGTAGTAAAGACTAAGGGTCACCTTATTTAATTATTTACTTCAGGATTTCTTTGAGAAGGGATTGTATGAAAATAAATTTTAAACTACAACATGAAGATGGGATGAGTAAGTATCCTTGAGGTGATACTTGGTAGAAGCTCCTTTTGCCTGAATTACTGCCATATGGTTTTTGGATCAGTAACATTAGCAGAGCAAACCTAAATCTGGGAATATGGGTGTGAAATTCTGGTCAGATGGACAACATAGGGACTGACGGAGGGAATATGGAGTTTTTTTGTCGTCTGGATACAACAGGTCAGGAAGACGCAGGACAGGGAAACTGAGAGCTGAAACATGGCTTCACCGCTCTCATTCTATTGCACAGGAAAAATCATCAATAACAAATAACTGAAAAAGTTTTTCTGTGAAATAAAAAATGTCTTTCTTGGTTTCATCAGTCATCATCCGTCAATCATTTTGATGGAAGATGGATGTATGAATGCTTGGACTTTATTAAGCAGCACCCATAGATGCAAGATATGAGCCATACATAGTAACTGTGCTCTACAAATGAATGCCGGAGTGATATAATTTAGTATAAAATACATTAAATATACTTAAAATGCTTAACATATGTTTAAATTATATATACACAGTACACTGCAAAAGTCTTACAACAAAGATGTTTAAATTTCAATATGATGTTTAAATCATCCATTATATCCATGTATTTGTTATCTCCATCGACAGTATATCATGATTGGCTAATCAATACCTCAAAAGATTATTTAACTAATCAAGGTGATGAATAATTGACTGGTAGTAAAATATACTAAATACTTGCAGTATCTGAGCTTCCCCTTAGGAGTGGTTTGTATTTCCAAGCAACAGTAACTTTTTGGAGAACAGAATAATTTTTTTCACTGTATTGCTCTTCATTTGCATATATTGTACTTTTTCCTCAGCAAATATGCACTTCACAACACAGATAAATAGCTTTACACATTTTCTTTGATTGCCTAAGACTTTAGCATAGCACTATATAAAAGTATAGGTACACAGGTGTGTGTGTCTGTGTGTATGTGTGTGGATTAGGTTTATATTACATTGAGGCGACCAAATGTCCCCTAGAATGTGATAAAAACATTTTGACATTGAAGGGACCATTTTTCAGGTCCCCACAAAGATCTGTGAATATAATCAAAAGTAAAAATGCCAAAAGCCTTGCATTTTGTTTGGTTACTTATGGTTAAGGTTAGGACTGGGAAGGGGTTAAGGTTGTCATAGTTAGGATGGAGATTATACCGATAGAAATTAATGAAGACATAGATACATTTAAGTGTGTGTGTGTGTGTGTTTGTATCCCATGGTTTAAGTTAAGGTCCCTTTGTGCATCCCATGGTCTGAGACTAAATACCTCAGGGTCACACTTCATTATATGTATCTATGGTTTTCTTAGTGTCTACCATTCCCAGCATGCATTTGACCACTTTCTGTGCCTACCATTCCCAGCATGCATTTGACCTCTTTCTGTGCCTACCGTTCCCAGCATGCATTTGACTTCTTTCAGTGCCCCCAGACATCCAAAAAATCCTAATAACATGCTCCCGATGCCTCCAATTAGAAGTAGACAGGCGAAGGGGAAGATGGACATGAGAGTGGGTCCATAACCTGGGGAGGAGGAGTTAATGCAGAACCAGCAGAAAAGTCTCATATCTGACATAATTCTGTGCAATAGAGATATTTCCTACTCACCATAAAATGCAGTTAAACAAAACGCACCAAGTAATAGGTAAGTATTAGCATCATGCCAATGGGTCTTTAGACCAGGGGTCACCAACATGGTGCCCGCAGACACCAGGGTGCCCCCAAGCACCACATGAGTCGCCCGCGGATCTGTTCTAAAAATAGCACAACTCACCAGTGAGCAGCATCTAAAATTTAATTTTATCCTGTTGCCATTCTTCTTTAATCACATTTGCATTTATACAGATTTGAAAAAAAAGCATTTAAAACATATTATACATGATTTAAGAAGAGTGTATTAAACTGGTAGGCCTTCGTATGGCTCAGTACCCGTGAAGTAGCTCTCAGTTTCAAAAAGGTTGGTGACCCCTGCTTTAGACCAATAATATTTATAAAAATTTTATTACAAATTAATGTGACAGGAATTTCAATTTCAGCACAGAACATTGAAAAGATGAAAGTACTTATTCACTGATTGTGAGTGTGGGTGATGGGTGCTACAGTACCTCTGTGCAAGCCCATTAATAAGGAAAGAAAGTAATAATATATGTTACACTTCCATGCCCCTGGCTATCCTAGATTTTATTCAAATTTAATTAATTACATCAATAGTTTGGCTGCAAACATACAGGCTGACATTTATATGATCAGTGACTTATTTACTAACAGAAATATATAACGATGCTGTGTTAGTATACAGTGCCCATTTTATGACTATTTTAATCTAAATCCATTAAAATGTTCTATTTTCCTAATAGGAATAAGTGAGGAGTGAAATGCAAGACACTCACTGAGGAAGCTTGTTTTGCCAAAAATAATCCAGAACCCAGCTGAGGCCAGAAAAATTCCTATAAACTGAGAGAAGAAATGCAATGAATTAAAATATCAATCACACTGTATTATAGAACAACATGATACTAAAAATAAGCATAATCACTGCATGTGTATAAGTCCTGCATCACAATAGGACAACAGAGCATCCCTTTCAAACCATAGTGATTTTAGTCACTACTTATAGTCAGTCAATTAGATAATTAAGCACATTTAGAGTATTCACAGTCTTGATCAGTTGGTACTAATAGATCCTAAGAGTACTCATGATGCATTGTAAAGGAAACTAGTTTTTTAATACTTAAGATGAAAGTTTGGTATCACTTCCTGTGAATGCCATGTCTATAAAAATCTATGAACAAATCAATAAAGCATTATAAACATGGCTATAAATAATTATAAAAAGGCATAACACATTATCACCAAGTTTATGGTGCATTATGAAGCTTTCACCGATAATGCGCTATAGATACCTTCATAATACATTATAATGGTCGGTATAAGAATTAAGGATGCTTTGTACTGCATTATGAAGGTTTCTATAGTGCATTATAGGTGAGAGCTTCATTGGAGCTTATGAAGTATTATAATCAACACTACAGTGCCTTATGACTGTCAATAGAAGATGCTGTAATGCTTTATTAATTCTTATACCGACTACTATAATGTATTTTGAAGGTATCTATAGTGCATTATAGACCAACTACCGATTATACCGACTATTATAATGCATTATGAAGGTATCTACTGTATAGCTTCTTTACATTTACTGCTTTAAGTAAAGTGTTACCACATCTTCTAATACTTATGAAAGCTATTCACAAAGACTGTAAAACATCAAGGGTACTTTCAAACTGGTAACTGTTTTGAAATATTTTAATTTCTAAATTTGATCTTGCATCATTCCTAGGGGAAGTATAGATACTATATCAATATTGGCTCATGTGCTCCATAACTGTGGACAGCATTCATTCCATATCAGCTGACTTATTCTAGCAAATTTGCTAACGAAGTCTTAACCATTTGTATTGTGAGCACTTAATGAGACAGAAGTACTTACAAAGAAGATCAGGTTAAACAGGAACAGGAGGTATTTTGTAAAAGAGAAACAGCCCTCAGAAACCATATCTGGAAAAGAAAAAAAACCCAGCACAGATAGTGGCAGACTTGTCTTTTTTTAAACTTCATGGATACTTCTATGATCATGTTGATATGAAGGCATGAGATACACAGATGAGTGATAAACATTTAGTATCACTTTGCTTCACTGTTTAATTTTCAAAACCTTCACGTTTAGTCTCTATATCCATCCCCTAGGTAGCATAGTTGACAAAAATCCCAATCTTTACCCTTGTGTCACTACATTTGCATACAAAAAACATCCAGGCCCAGCTAAATTTAGCAAAAAAAAAAAAAAAAAAGTCTCTCAAAAGCATGTGGCAGAATGTATTTTGCTCTGTTGAAACCAAGGTTGAACCTTTTGGCCACAATTCCAAGAGATATGTTTGGCACAAAAACAACACTGCACATCACCAAAAGACACCACACCCACCGCGAAGCACGGTGAGGGCAGCATCATGCTTTGGGGCCGTTTTTCTTCAGCTTGAACTGGGGCTTTAGTCAAGGTGGAGGGAATTATGAACAGTTCCAAATACAATGGTACCTCAGAACTCGAATTTAACCAGTTCAGAACTCCGGATTGAATCCTAAAGAGTTCGAGTTGTGATCGAATTTTCCCCATAAGTAATAATGGAAAACCAATTAATTGCTTCCCTAAATATGTTGCATCTAAATATGTTTTTTTTTTCTTTAGCATCTTAACACAAAATGAACCGGATAAAACAAGAAGAGCATATACTGTACTAAACACATCTAAGCACATTTATCAAAACAGTAATTTGTAAAGTAAGAAAATAAATGTATCCAAACAATGTGTAAAGTTAAAAAAAGCAATTTGTCCTGCCCCGATCGTCTGCTCCTTCCGTGTGCCACGCCCCCTCGTTTAACCCGTGTGGAATCCCAGTGTGATCATCTGTTTCTGGTTGTTGTTGTTAGTCCTCTGTATTTCGTCCGCATTTCAGTTTGTTTCCTCAGTCTGGTCATTGTATTGTCCGTCTGCATTTTGCCTGCCTTACCTGTAATTAAACCCAGTATTCCCCGATACCCTGACGTCTGCGTCTTTGTCTCCGTCCCCACTCGGCACGACAATATTATTATAATTAAATGTATTAATGGTTGATTATTAATATTAAACTAATTAAGAAATCTTTATTTTTGAAGGTATTTTATTATATAATAATTACTGTTACTGTCTATCATTGTCTAAATGTATTTTTACTGTCTAAATATATGTATTCAGCTAGTGTAAACATGCACGATGCTATCACAGCGAATGCGAGGCTGAGACTGAAGCTTTACCCTTTGTTTCCGCTGAGACGTGCTGCGTGACTCATTTCCCCGCACGTACAAGTTCTTAGGTCGGGGGAAACAGTTTGACTTCTGAGATTCAGATTGAGCTCTAGGTAATTTTTTATTTTTTTTAACTGGTTGGTTCGACTTTTAAGAAATTCGAGTTCTAATGGAGTTTGAGAACTGAGGTACCACTAAGTCAATTTTGGCCCAAAACCTTCGGGGGCCTGTACTACAAAGCGGGGTTACTGGCTTATCGGGGTAACTTGTCAGATTTAAAAGTAGTCTGGGCAAAATGTAAGTGAACGAATATGAAGTCTATTTAAAAATTGTGGTACCTTAAACATCAATAATGTGTCATTAATGTGCATGACATGTGTCATGTCATTCTTAAAACGGTTACGTCACCCTTATGTAGACTGCTTCAAGTAAAGTGTTGCCCATTAGACATCTGAAATGACTGAAATGTCTTTTTAAACATACATTGCTGCATGACACTTCCTAGTAATACTTAAAGTGTATATAAAAGTTTTACCCTGAGATTGCAGGTTTTTGTGAAACCAGAAATCAAGATAAATCATCAGACATTTTGCATATTTTTTTATATCAACCGTAAACAAAGCAGTTAGCGCTCTGAGGAAACAGATGTTTAGACTGCCACACACAGTGGTACACCGCCCAACTTCATCTGCAGTGAAGCAGTACTTACGAGAACTTCCACTGCACAGCAGAAATTCGTAATGGTATTCGGCATAAAAAAACAGAAATAAAATACTAAAAATAAATAAGCAAGCAAACAAACAGTATGATGAGATCAAAGCCAAAAAGGCAGATCTGGTTGGTGTGGTCCTGCTATATTTGAGGGTGAAACACATCAGTGCAGGTAGAGAACAGTTCACTGGAAAACAGGAAACGAATGCAAATGAAGTAGCAGGTGCAGCAACTGTGCAAAGATAATACAGCGGTGTGAACTTTTTGTTTTTCAGCTACCCTGATGTAGCTTCTGTTTTTCATTGGCTGAGTATTTGATAACTGAGAACCAGATTTCAATCATACTTTTCAAGCCAAATTCCCCAATATTTCTGAGAAATGTGTCACTGTGTTGACTCACTGAATCATCAACACCTATAAAACAATCACTCAATGATAAATGCCACAGGATGCACATTCTAGGCAAGTTAGCAGCATTTCACTCATATTTTGCAGTTATTTAAAAACAGCCAAGCCTGTACTGTAAACGTTTACTGGTGGGCGGTATGCGGCTTAGTGCATAACACTGTTGCTTCACACAAAACCCTCTGGTGTTCTCCCCGTATCATGTGTGGGTTCAAATAGAATGGAACAGTGTGACGTTTTTGCCAGTGGCTGCAGTGCCAATCCTGCCACCATTCCCCAAATGTCCCTTAAAGTTGGAGGACCTGCCTGCAGGGCTGGATGTAGGTAAACACCATACCCAGGAAGAAACAATTGCAAGTTAAGGACCTTGCTCAAGGGCCCAGCAGCTCCTGGCATTCATGGGATTCAAACTGGCAACCTTCCGATTGCCAGTACAGATCCCTATCCTCAGAGTCACCACTGATTAAATAACAAAAAAATAACTGGTCCTGGACTGTAGGCCCCACCCCCATAGTAAATTTTGTTGGGCCCATTTTGCCAGCCCCCATATCTTTAACTAATACGATTATTTGGTCCAATATCTGCAGTATACCACAACATCACTGAACTTGCTGAAAGCAGCAGTAATAAGCTGAGAATCTCGAAATACATGAGTTCACAGGCAGGTTTAAAAAAAAAAAATTAGAAAACATATACAGTATATTGAAAATTGAGAACAAAACTGAGCATGTGAAATGATTACAGAATAAAATGATTTTTAACCTGAAACTGTTGCAAACATCTGACTTTATGCAACATTCACATCTGTAGCATACGTATAGTCTGAGTACCCCTAACCCTAGAGTACACTATATGTGCTCAAACAGATAATCAGACCATATGTTAACACAGCTGGCTCTAATGCTGAGATTTTACTGAAGGACCTGACTATCTGCATCACGTGTGTAGAATTACAGCTGCACCAAAATCCTATAGGTTGGTGGATCTCCAAGAGCAGGAAGGAGCAGCCCTGCCCTAGAGCATCTATGATCTAAAATGACATTTTATCTGCCTTGTGTTGTTGACAAAGGGGTTTGCCCAGGGTAAAACCACACAGTGCCCCCAAAGGACAAAACTGCAGTGGGGTCCGCATGGGCCACTTGGTGTAATTGTTTGCCTGGCCCACAGTGAACCCACACCTGCCCATGGGGGCAGGGGCGGATTAAGGTGTACAGAGGCCCCTAGGCTACAGTAGTCTGTGGGCCCCCCAACCCCACCAACCTCCGCGCCAATGGGGGCCCCCTTGCAGGCTGGCACACGTGGGGCCCCTAGGCTTAAGCCATATCTAGCCTGTGCGTTAATCCGCCCCTGCATGGGGGGGCCGCTTGGCCAAGTTTGCTAGGTAGTACTAAAAAATAAATTCCTTAATGACTAACCCTACATTATGCAAAACAGTCCCCCAGGGCATAATGACCTAAGAAGAGGTTGCGATATTTAACAGAACTGTACCAATACTATTTTACTTTATTATACTTCATTGATCGCCGTGGGGAAATTCTCTTTATGCCTCCCCCCAACTTGCTCATTGCCGCGAAGGGCTACCACCTGTTGCGGCGCCCAGGGAATACAACTAATCACAATCTTATCTAACACAACACGTTTTAAAAGCACAGTTTTAAGCTTTAAAGGCACTTTTTAGCGTTACATTTTCTGTTTTCCCCCACATAACGCATGCAACCCAAACTACCGGATCCCGTGTCTGTTTCCTTGGCGCTTTAACAACCGAAAAGGTATTATTACAGGAGGGCAGCATTAAATATAGATGCGCAGAAGGATAATACCACGGTTCATTTGGTACACAGACACTTTCTCAGACTAACCCAGAGTGCGCATTGCATTGTTATTGAAATGATAACTAATTTAATAAACTTAGGCCTATTACTCGATCAGTTAGAGTACAATATTATTGTAGATGAGGCAGTGCTCTATATAGGGCTAATGGAGATTTTAAGTAAGATTAAACGAAGCCTGTTAACTGTAGGCTAATAAATATTTTGTGAATGAGTTACAAGTGCACAAGTATGTAGTTTAATCAAAAAGGCTCTGCTTTCAGACATATTTGTCTTAAACCAGTTATGAATGATATCGGGATTAAAAGAAAGAAAACGTATAATGGACCTAGTGATATAACGTTTTGGATGTAATTTTGACACTTGTGCTTCGTTTGAAAATTACGCAGTGAGCTTCATACATTTACGGTACATCATTCTTCATTCGATAAACAAATGCAATACATTTAACATACAGGCAGTATGATTGCCTAAATATTAGGAAATGGTGGAAAGATTACAAAAAAAGTATCAGCACAAGCGCTATCTGTGTTTATTGTACTTAAAGATAAATCAAACAGACGAATTTTGTGCATTTAAAAGTAATTTCCATTTAGTCCAAATTAAAGGAACGCCAACTCGACATAAATTGGCAAACCAACTGAAGAAATAACATTAATCACAAAATACGTCTCTATATTGATGTCAGCATTGTGAAATTGTAGCTATCACTTTATGCACATTATCAACTGCAGTAGCATATTATCGACAGTAATACCGCTCACACGGGCAACCAAAAACCAAAGCAGCCAAAACTTGAAACATATTTAACATACTTAAAATATATTTGCCAGCAACCTACCTGCAGCTCGAGTGGAGGCGACCGATATAGAGAAATGGAGAAGTGAGATAAAAGCGCGCCGTTGTTATTAATGAACTAAGACGGCGGTTTCTGGGGTATTAAGTGTATATAAGCCCACGCAATGCTCCGCCGGGCAGAGGGGCATCTTCAGTGGAGGCAGAAGGGTGTAACAACATCGTGACAGGGGAGACCCTGGAATGGATACCACCGGTGCCTAGAGTGGAGGAAAACAGGTGCTGCTACTCCTCTTGTTATTCAGTGCAAGCAGATATTGAGTAACAACACCGGTACAGTCGACCCTTCCACATAACAAGGGTTAAGGGCACAGGCTAAAATTTTTTGGTCCCCATGGTCCCCACGGCCAGCAGAGCGAAGCGAAAGGTTACGAGACACACCAGGTACATAGATTACTGCATGATCACTGCGAGATATCAAATGAGAGGCTGTCGAAAATACCGCTGGCGTCCAAACCAGCGCCGTACAGGGGTGTTTCTAGTTATTGAAAAGATCCGGGGCTAGGTGGTTTATCCAGATTTATCCATGACAGAAAAGGTACATAAGAGAGAACACTATTTATGTAGGCCAATGCTTCAGTTAAGTCACCTCATCTAATTGGTGGTGCTCTGGAGCAATTTAATCCTGAAGTTCTACATGGAATTGACACATTAGCTCCTATAAAGGTTAGATCAGTCCACAATAAACAGAAAGCACCATGGAGAAATACAACTGCTGTTTTATCACAAAAGGGCAAATGCAGGAAAGCAGAACATAAGTGGAAAAAGCAAAATCCAGATACATTATGACGTCTGTAAAGAGAACCTTAACTTCGAATTCAGCAAGGCTAGATCTTTTTTTCCTCACACATCATTAATGACAACACCAACAACTCCCGCACTCTATTCACTATTGATGATAAGCAAACTTACCAATCACAGAACTCAAGTACCTCCTCAGTTCTTCTCAGCAAAAAGGTACAATGAATCTGTGGAATTTTTCTTTGAGAAAATCATAAACAATACACTAGCAATCGCTTCCGGTAAGCTAAACTGTGCCTTCAATTCACCCAGCATACTAAATAGAATAAATTTGTTGAAATCGATGACATTCTATAGGATCTGACTTAAAATCCTGCAGTTGCTCACTCAATGTTTTAACCATAAGGTTTTTAAAAGATGTTCTTAGCTGTGTGAAAGATGATATTTTGAAAATAGTTAATGGCACTTTACTCATTGGGATATTCCTTAAATCACTGAAAACCACAATCATTAAACCCATCCATTTCCTGAAACAACTCGTCCAATACAGGGTTGTAGGGGGGTCCAGAGCCAATCCTGGAGGCTACAGGCACAAGGTAGAGCACAACCCAGGATGGGACACCAACCCATCGCAGGGTCACCTGCCAGGGTGCACTTACACACACACACCTACAGCTGATTTGGTGACTGCAATTAGCCTCAGCATATTTTTGGACTGTGGGGGGAAACTGGAGTACCAAGAGGAATCCCTGCAATGACATGGGTAGAACATATGAACTCCACACGCATTGAACCCTGGAGGAGACTTGAACCCTAGTTCCAGAGGTAACCACTGCACCCCCCAATCATTAAACCGCACCTTAAAAAGAGCAGCTTTGATGCTTCCATACTAAGCAATTATAGACTGAATTCAAATCTTCCCTTCTTTGGAACAGTAATTGAGATGCTGTTTCAATGAACTAACCGTGTTCTTAAACATGAGTGGTTGTTTCTACAGGCTACAGTCAGGCTTCCAGCCTCAGCATAGCACCGAGACCGCTCTCACCATGAGTTCTGAACGACATCCAGCTAAACATTGTTTCAGGCAAAGTATCAGTCCTGTCTAAGTCAGCATTTGATCTACCGCAAAATACTGATGGATAGACTGGACACTTCGTTGGGCTTCAGTGGTTTAGAACATACCCAGAGGGCAGAGATTACAATGTTCAGATTGGCAGTTATAAATTGAGGTGGACACCCCAGAGTTCCAAAAAGATCTATCCTAGGGCCCCACTTATTCAATTTCTAGAGTACAGTGGTACCTCAGAACTTGAACTTAATCCATTCAAAACTCCGGATCGAATCCTAAAAAGTTCTGATCGAATTTTCCCCATAAGAAATAATGGATAACCAATTAATTGGTTCCCAGTTCCAAAAAATTACCTATTATCTAAGCACATTTATCAAAACAGCAATTTGTAAAGTATGAAAATAAATGTATCCAAACAATGTGTAAAGTTAAAAAAAACAATGTGTCCTGCCCCAATCGTCCGCTCCTTCCGTGTGCCACGCCTCTCATTAACCGCGTGTGGAATCCCCGTGTGATCAGCTGTTTCTGGTTGTTGTCATTAGTCCTCTGTATTTAGTCCGCGTTTCAGTTTGTTTCCCCAGTCCGGTCATTATATTGTCCGTCTGCGTTTTGCCTGCCTTACCTGTAATTAAACCCCGTATTCCCCGATACCCTGACGTCTGCGCCTTTGTCTCCGTTCCGTCCCAGCTCTGCACGACAATATTATTATAATTAAATGTATTAATGGTTTATTATTAATATTTAAATAATTAATAAACAATCTTTATTTTTGAATGTATTTTATTATATAATAATTACTGTTACTCACTATCATTGTCTAAATGTATTTTTACTGTCTAAATATATGTATTCAGCTAGTGTAAACATGCACGATGCTATCACAGAGAATGCGAGGCTGAGACTGAAGCTTTACCCTTTGTTTCCGCTAAGAGACATGCCGCGTGACTCATTTCTCCACACGTACAAGTTATCTTACGTCGGCGTTCACGGTTTGACTTCTGAGATTCAGATCGAGCGCTAGGTAATTTTTTTTTAACTGGTTGGTTTGACTTTTAAGAAATTCGAGTTCTAATGAGTTACGCATAGTTACGCAGATGACACACAGATATAGCTGGCTCTGTCACCCAGTGATTTTGCCCCCCTCGATTCCCTGTCACCTTGAGCAAGTTAATTTCTGGATGCAGCACAATTTCTTCCAGCTCAACAAACAGAAATCACAGGTGATTGTTTTTGGGAAGACAGAAGAGCAACTAAAAGTTAACGCCTACTTTGAGTCTAAATCCATAAAGACTAAGGACCTTGTCAGAAACCTTGGCATCCTGCTTGATGAAGATCTCAGTTTCAATAACCATTTCAAGGCCATAAATAAGTCCTCCTTGTATCACCTTAGGAACATCTCTAATATCGGAGGTCTAATGTCCAGGCATGACCTTGAAAAACCTATTCTTGCCTTCATCTCGAGTTGCTTGGACTTCTGAAAAAATCCAAATGTCAGCTCCAGCTTAACCAAAATTCTGCTGCTAGATTGTTAACTAGGAGCAAGAAGAACTAACACATTACTCTAGTCATTCACTCCCTAGACAGGCTTCCAGTTGCCTTCAGAATCCACTTCAAGGTGATGCTGCTTGTTTATAAACCATTCAGTGGTCTCTGAATATGAACCTAACAGGCTGCTAAGATCAGTAGGAGCTGGTCAGCAAACTAATAGTGCCAACTAATAGTGTCAAGTGTAAAAAGTCAGCAAGGCCAAACGGCATTCAGGTATTTTGCTGCTGATAACTGATAGTGACTCCCTGAGGAGCTGAGAAATGCACCACATGTTGCCATCTTCAAAACCAGACTCAAACCATTTTTATTCCATAGTGCCTTCAGTTAGTGCTAAGTCAAGGTTGTTGCTTTTTATTTTGTCTTCTATTTATAATATTTAATTACTGTTACTTTAAATATTTTACTTGTTTTTTTATTTTTCATTTAATTGCTTTCATTTGATCTTATTTTATGTAAAGTGCTCTCAATGACCTCTGTGTTAGAAGATGTGCCATATAAATAAACTGACCTTGGCTGTTATTTTTTATATAAGCAACAGGAATGAAAGTCACAGGACTGAATTTTAGCATCAAATTCATGAACCATAGCAACATGCCATCAAAGCTGATGGTATGAAAACACTGAGCTCATTCAAGTAATTTTTTGTTGTAAATAAATATACCTAAGAAATTATTTGGGTAACAGGAATGAGTGTTGAGATCAACTGCCTTAGACATACTTAAAATATCACCAAAAATACACAAAAGAGCATGAGTGGATCAGGTGGATCACTGCAGGTGATTTTTTTTTACTGCTTTACTGACATTGAATGGTTTAAAAAAAGACAAGGTAGGTAAACAGAGTATGCATTTAATTAGGTGTGTGTGTGGGGGGGTGACGATGCATCTCTCTCCTTGCTCTCTTATACGCCATTCACACATACACACACACCCGCTCGCACGCACGCACGCACACACACACACACACACACACACACACACACACACACACAGTCTTGTAATCATATCTTTTTGGGGACCGCTCATTCATTTCTATAGGAAAAATGCTAATCCTAACTATGACAACTTTAGCCCCTACCCAGTTTTAGTACAGTGTTCCTAATAAAGTGTTCAGTGAGTGCATATAATCACAGCCTAACCCTGACCTGCTAGTGCTACGTTAAGTACATAAGAAATTTTCAAAGAGAGGAGGCCATTCGATCAGCCGCTTGTGTCCCCAGCAATGAGGATCCTATGAGCTGAATCATCCCCAGGGAAACGTGCCACATGGCCTTAGTGCTGTGACTGACGCTCCTTCACAATGCAGTGGTACATTCTTCTTAGTGCGTCTAGTGTTATTTTAACTCAACCTGTAGACGTAGATACTCCTGCTTTATTTTGAAATCTTTATTTTCCATTTGTGGAAGAGAGCCCTTTTCCTCCTGACTTTATTCTTAATTTCCTTAGTAAACCACCTTGGTTGTCGTTTCCTAGATTTAGTTTTGCTGGAAACAGGTATGAAGTCCTCTTGCACTTGCAACAATGTGCTTTTAAAAAATTCCAATGCCTCTTCAACAGTTTTGCTATTTAACTTTGCTAAGTAATTATTTTTTCAGTCTCATACCATTCAAGTTAGCCTTCCTAATATTGTATATTTTGTGGTTGACAACTTCAAGCAATGTTGAAAACTCAAAGCAGCACACAAACAAATACTCAACAATCTCTTTATTTGTTAGCATACGAGGTTCTTTTCAGAGGAAAGAAAAAAAAGGTTTAAAATATTACAAAATAGTTTTATTCAAATGACTATTTTGTCCTATACATGACTTCCAGCTGTTTCCGCCCATGTCAGCCCCCATCACTTCATACCTCAATGTATAAATTACCTATAAATTATATACTTTTCCATAGAGCTTTTTTGAAGCACTATAGGCCGGTGGTCTTAGGGAGTGACTCCTGCATTTCCGTTCCACATGCGTGTTGCGATGAACGTCACCTTCCATAGTTTGGAAATAAAGGCTCTTAAAACCAAGTGTCACCTTCTCACCTAAACCA